TAATTAATTAATTAATCAGGCTGCTCTGGGTCTTAGTTGCAGCACGTGGGATCTTTGCTGCGGCATGTGGGCTGAAGCACGTGGACTCTTAGTCGCAGCATGTAGACTCCTAGTTGTGGCATGCTAACTCTTTGTTGTGGCATGCACGTGGGATCTAGTTCCCCGACCAGGGATTGAACCTGGGCCCCCTGCATTGGGAGTGCAGAGTCTTACCCACTGGACCACCAGGGAAGTCCCTTCACATACTTTTATTTTCTACACTTGTTCTAGCATTTCTGTAGGGATTGCTCAGTCAAGGGCATGCACATTTTACATTTTGATAGCAGGCAACAGATTGTGCATATGTTCACACACCCATGTTATAGTGATTAATACAAATGCAGGGCATGGCAGTCATGGTGTTTCAGGAAAACAAAGGTGGGGCACGTGAGGATGGTCATGTGCCAGGTCTCAGGTGAGTCCCTGGGAAGGGTCGCCAAGTGTGGGTCCTTGGCTTCATGCAGGAAAGATTCAAGAGTGAGCCACAGTAAAGTGAAAGCAGGTTTATTCAGGGACATACAGACTCCATAGACAGAGTGTGGGCCATCTCAGAAGATGAGAGGCCCCAGGGAACGGGTTGTCAGTTTTTACAGGCATGGGTAATTTCATAGGCTAATGAGTGGGAAGATTATTCTAACTATTTTGGGGAAGGGGTGGGGATTTCCCGGAGTTGGGCCACACCCCACTTTTGGACCTTTTAGGTTAGCCTTAGAACTGTCATGGTGCTCACGGGTGTACTGGAAGTCACTTGTCCATAATCTTGGACCTAGTTGTTTCTAACCAGTTCATGTCATGTCCTCAGTGGCTGTCATTCTTTTAAAGGTTGTTCCCTGACCCCTTCCTGTCTCAATGGGAAGGCAGATTACAGTTAAAACAAAGAACTCTCTAGTGTAAAAACAATGGATCACAACAGATCACTTTGAGGTAGTAAGTGTTCAAGAAGAGATTGGAAAACCTGATGCTGTAGATACATAGAAGATTATGCTACCAAACAAAGTTTGTGTGCCTGAGGCACAGTGAGGCCAAATAAACATTGCAGTTTGGAATAGAGTAAGGTTTATTGCAGGGCCAAGCAAGGAGAACGGAGAATGGGTGGGGGACTTCCCTGGTGGTGCAGTAGTTAAGAATCCGCCTGCCAACACAGGGGACACAGGTTTGAACACTGGTCCGGAAGCAACTAAGCCCGTGCACCACAACTACTGAGCCTGAGCTCTAGAGCCTGCAAGCCACAACTGCTGAGCCCATGCACCACAAATCCTGAAGCCCGTGTGCCTAGAGCCCGTGCTCCACAACAAGAGAAGCCATCACACTGAGAAGCCCTCGCACTGCAACAAAGAGTAACCCCTGCTTGTTGCAACTAGAGGAAGCCTGTGCACAGCAACGAAGACCCAGTGCAGCCAAAAATAAATAAATGTTGTTTTTTTTATTAAAAAAGGATAATGAGTGGCTTGTACTCAAAAACCCTGAACTCCCTGGTAGTTTTTGGGGAAAAGTTTTTATAGGCAAAATTTGGGGGTGAGGGCTGCAGGGTGTGTGCCTTTCTTCTGATTGGTTGGTGGTGAGGTAACAGGGTGGTGCTCCAGGAATCTTGCTCTCAGCCTGAAGTTGCCATTCCCTACCTGGGTGGGGGCCTTAGCTCTGCAGCAGAGCTCAAAGATATTATATATTCCTTGAGAAGGAAGCAGGACCCTGGCCCAAGGCTGCACTATTGTTTCTTGACGGCCTCTCCCTTGTTTCTGTATTCCCTCTCTTCCCTGATTAGCAACTGTTTGAACCTGCCCTTTGGAACTCAGGGAAGGTCAAGGAGGCTGAATGATGCCTATTTCCTACAAACAAGAAACGGGGGTTAGGGGAGCAATTCCCTGGAGGTCCAGGGGTTAGGACTCAGCGCTTCCACTGCAGGGGGCATGGGTTCAATCCCTGGTCAGGGAAGTAAGATCCTGCATGCCACATGGCGTGGCAAAAAAAAAAAGAGAAATGGGGTACACGGAAAGGATTTGTGCCGGGTAGCCCCACAGGGTCCTGCCTGGTTTCAGTTAGAGCAGCTAACATCTAAGGAATGTCTGAAATCGGACATTGAGGTATACTCTGGAAAAGCACACTAACCTCTCCAATGTGGCAAGTCACTAAGTGGTGGTGAAACTGTGCAACTCTGACTGAGACTTGAACCCATGCACTGGGACTCGAACCCAGCCAAAACCCAGATTGGGACTTGAACCCACTATATTTTTTTTTTTTTTTTTTTTCCCTTGCGTTATGCGGGCCTCTCACTGTTGTGGCCTCTCCCATTTGCGGAGCACAGGCTCCGGACGCGCAGGCTCAGTGGCCATGGCTCACGGGCCCAGCCGCTCCGCGGCATGTGGGATCTTCCCGAAACGGGGCACGACCCCGCGTCTCCTGCATCGGCAGGCGGACTCTCAAGCACTGCGCCACCAGGGAAGCCCGAACCCACTATATTTTAACTGAGATCACACCTGCTCTCAGGACTTAATGAAGCTCAGGTTCTTTATGTCTCAGCACAGAAAGAATTCAGAGGGAGACAAAGTGATAGGTAAGAAGTGGATTTATTTAGAGAGAAACACACTCCACAGAGTGTGGGCCATCTCAGAATATGAGAGTGGCCCCAGCGAATGGGGTTGGCAGTTTTTATAGGGGTGGGTAATTTCATAGGCTAATGAGTGGGAGGAGTATTCCAGCTGTTTTGGGGAAGGGGTGGGGATTGCCAGGAATTGGGCCACCACTCACTTTTTGACCTTATTGGCCTTGGAACTGTCATGGCGCCTGTGGCTGTGTCATTTACCTTGCTGATGTGCTACAATGAGCACATACTGAGGTTCAAGGTCTAGTGGAAGCCGACTAGTCTGCCATCTTGGACCTATTTGGTTCTAATCAGTTTACATCGTGTCCTCGGACTATGTCATTCTTTTAAAGGTTGTGCCCTGTCCCCTTCCTTCCTGTTTCAGTGGCCCGTTGAGGATTGGGTTCTTTTTTTTTTTTTTTTTTTTTTTTTTCTTTTTTTTTTTGCGGTACGCAGGCTCTCACTGTTGTGGCCTCTCCCGTTGCGGAGCACAGGCTCCGGACGCACAGGCTCAGCTGCCATGGCTCACGGGCCCAGCCGCTCCGCAGCATGTGGGATCCTCCCGGACCGGGGCATGAACCCGTGTCCCCTGCATCGGCAGGCGGACTCTCAACCCCTGCGCCACCAGGGAAGCCCGAGGATTGGGTTCTTTTACATGAAATTCACTTTCCAGGTGAGCCACAGAGAGCACTGAAAGCTTTGCAGCTTTTAAATGTTTCCCCAAACCCACTGGCTCCATCTTGCTGAGTTGCAGCAGAGATGTACTGCTGAGCTTTTCTCATCTCTGCTTCAGTAATAGGCATGTCCACCTGTGTCCCCAGCTCGGATGGCCTGGAGATCTCTACAGCCCTTTATTGATAGTCTCAGGAAATAAATGGGCTTTTCCTAATAGGCTAAGGAGTCTTACACGTGTCTGAAAAGATACAAACCTGCGGGTAGAAAAAAACGGCCACTGGCAAGCTTCATGCATAGCTGCTGTTCCCTGTACTTCAAGAGAAGCAGCTTGGATAGCTCTGAAGTCTTTGTAGGCTTGAAACCTTTTCCTTTGATGATCTGGCCACGAACAGCACAGTCTTCATAGCCTGTGGCTGGTCAGGCCAACAGCATGACAGCAAGTGGCAGAGAATACGGCTGGCAGATGCAATGTCCATGTCACCATTTGGACATGGTTGTGTACATCTATCAGGTCTTGCCTTTTGCTGATCTGGATGAAGTTGCTCTCAAACACAGTCTCCTTCCTTGTCCAGCTGTCGCTGAAGTTCCCCTTAGAGATATTAAACCTGCCCACTGCACAGCCAGCCACTGTAGGAGTACTGCAGTGACATGGATTTACTGCTCATGGTTATAGTTTATCAAGAAAGCTCTGCCTCTGGATTTCATCCCCTTGAAGGGGTCTTAATAGTTTTCTTTGCCATATAATAAATTGTCACAAACTTAGTGGCTTAAAGCAACACACATTTATTACCTCACAATTTCCATGGGTTAGGAATTTGGGAATGGCTTTGATGGGTCCTCTGCTCAGGATCTCATAAGGCTGAAATCAAGGTGTAGGCCAAGGCTGGGGTCTCACCTAAAGCTTGGGGGTCCTCACCTAAAGCTTGGGGTCCTCTTCCAAGCTCACAGGGCTTTTTTTTTTTTTACCCCCCAGCTACGGCTTGCAGGATCTTAGTTCCCCTGCCAGAGATGGAACCTGGGCCCTCCGCAGTGAAAGCATGGAGTCCTAACCACTGCATTGCCAGGGAATTCCCAAGCTCACAAGGCTTTTGAAAGAATTTATTTCCTTCAAGTTGCACAATTCATGGTGCCTCTATCACAGCTGTTTCCTTTACAGCATAAATCACAATTATTTTTTACCAGTGAATTCCTTGACAGAACCCACCATAGTGGTTTAGCACATAATTATTAAATGAATCAAGGATTATATATGGTTATTTGTGACCCATATTATTTTCTTCATTAGTTTGTTAGCAACTTGAGGGCGTAGCCCTGAATCATTTGTCTCCCTCCAGCAGGGTCTAGTCCAGTGCATGGTTTAGCATTACTCAAATCTCATTTCTGGAAAAAAAATCAGGTGCAAGAATAAAGGTGGGGACTTGAAAGCAAGGGAGGCTGTGGCAAAGCAGGTTGAATCTGGGAAGAGTTACGCTGGAAGGAAATGGGAGAGACCAATAGCAGAAGTCAGCCACTTTTACTTAAATTCCAGCAACAAGGCTGTACCTCCTCCCATGACGTATGCGGAAGCTGAAGACATGCTTCTCGCGAGAGGAAAGATGGACCGCGAGAAAGTGTACGTCTGTCCGTGCCCCGCCTTCCCTGAGCCCCACCCACTCCCTGTCCTCCCTCCCACCTTGAACCTGCCGCGTGTGACGTCGTGACGCGTGCGTGGCCGCGGCGCGGGGGGCGGGCCCGCGGCGCCGCGCCGGAGGAGGAAGTGGTGCGGTTGTTGCTCCCTCTGCGCCCGCCGCTGGCTCCCGGGGCGCGGAGTGGGGCCACAGTCGTCGCCGCTGCGTCGCGTTCTCTAGCTGTTACCCTCCATGTGCCCGGGCTGCGTCGCCCCCCTTCCTCAGGCCGCCGCTTACCCCGGGGTCTATGGAAGTAATGGAAGGACCCCTCAACCTGGTGAGTGGCCCACAGAGGGTTGCGTCCGCCCTCGGGCTCCTTTGCCTCAGAAGCCCGGTCTCGGCGTGCAGCTGACCCTCGAGGCCGGGGGGTGGGTTTGGCGCGGGTGGTCCTGCAGGCTGGGGGCGCAGGCAAGGCGCGGCCCTATAGCGGCTCCGGCCAAACCACCGCAGACGGCCCCTCGGGGATCCCTGGGAAGCTCCCGCCTCCCATTTCCCGCCTCCTCCAGGCGCCACCTGCCTCAGGGCTCTGGGCGAGGGGCTCCCACCAGCGGGGGTGCCACCTCTCCAGGCCGGAGGAAATGCCTCCAAGCGCCACGTAACCACCTCTCTGCACCCTGGAGAGGCACTGAAGCCGGCCAGGGCAGAAATGGTGTGTAATACTGGTTGTAACTTGCAACACAGGGTCTGAAGTCTGAGCTTCCCCACTGTGGAGAGATGGAGCATAACGTGTTTGACCCCCGTTTCCCTTCACCCATTTCTCACCTGTATTCAGATGCATAAACAGAGACTTCCCCTTCTCAAATAAATTAGAGACAGCTGGGGATAAAAGATGGGGCCATCCCTGTTTTTAGCTCAGTTTCAGCTCATTAGGCATCATGAAAATATGGTAGATGTTTGCCTTTCTCAGAAACAGCGTTGCACCTCACTTATTATGTTTTTAGGCACCTCAGGTGTAGCGATTAAAACAACAACGAGAAACACGAGTTCCGTTCCACCTGGCCGCGGCATCTTTTGGTTTCCCAGAGAAGGCATCTGTTTTGGATACAAAAGTTAGATTACTTAAAGTTGCAGACAGACAAGAGGAACTTTTTGCTGTTCAACTGCCATGATGGGATTGGAAAAAAAGGATGTGTGGAAAATTATTAGTTTCTCACGTTGGAACTCTGAGAACCCTTGTGTGGGGCTGGATTTAAACCATTCTGTAGAGAAGCAGTAGAGCCTGGTGGTTTAAGAATATAGATTCGGGACCTAAACTGCTTGGATTTGAATTCTGACTTTGTCACTTAATAACTGTGTGACCTTGGGCAAATTAGTTCACCTCATTCTTTGTGGTTTGTTGTGAGGATTGAGAGTAAATAGGTGTAAAGGGCCTAGAACAGTACCTGGTACATAGTGAAGTGTAAGAGTTAAGCTGTTATGATAATCAGACCAAAACTCTTAACTTAAAAATCTCACTTGTAAAATAAGATTTGGACTTGGTGAGCTTAAAAAGTTTAAGACTCTAGGACCTAAAGCTGTGGTTCCCAGATGACTGGTGCCAGGTTAACTGCTATGATTACTGTGCAGTTTTATTAAGTTATGCCCTGCCCCCATTGTTTACACTTAAAAAGAATTGGGGGCTTCTCTGGTGGCGCAGTGGTTGAGAGTCCGCCTGCCGATGCAGGGGACACGGGTTCGTGCCCCGGTCCGGGAAGATCCCAC